TATAAGATCAGCTTGATTGTGAAAAGAGTTATTAGAATAAGATTTGATTTTATAAAAAGAAATATTAAGAGACTTTGTTTTAATAAGATAGTAAATGATGAATAAGATATCTCAGTTTTTTATATAAAAAAATTTATATAATGATAGAAATAGTTAAATATTTTTCAGTACAGAAAGATTGTTTAGATGTATATTATTTTGTAAATTTATTGGTAAGATAAGAAAAAGATATATTATTACTTTAAGTTCTGCTTAGGTAGAGTCAAGATATGAAAGAATAGAACAGTTAAATTTGATTTAGATTGTGTTCAGAAATTCATCCAATTCCAATTTTAGAATATGATGTTTAATTATTTATAATTGAGGCATCTATATAGAAATAAATATTGTTTGAAAAATTTTTTGCTAATAAAAATAATTCGATAAGTTGGTTTTGGTAGTTGAAAAATGATATATATTTTTGTATTATTTGTATTTTCATTTTAGGAAAGTATATAATTAGAGTTTGAGTTGATATAAGTAGTGAAGAAGTTTGTTGTATATATTAATAAGTGCATGAATTTCATAATTATCAATGTAAAAAGAGTAAATATTATCTTTTTTTGATAACTTAATATTTGAAATATTAATAAAAGTTTGAGATAATAGTATAAGTGAATTAGTAAAAGTTAGAGATATAGAGCCATGACTTTAACTGCATATTTATTTATTACAGATAATAATTATTTAATTTGACAAAAATTTAATATTTTAACTAATTATATTAATTTTTATATATTTAAAAAAAATTTTATTAAAGCTTTATTTAATACTAAAATATTTAACTAAATTCATACTTCACTTAATAATATAGATTAATTACAATATTTAATTAATAAATTTAATAAAGAAATGTATCTATATAAACAAAATATTATAAATATATAATATAATATAATATAAAAATAATTTTATATTTAAAAAATAATCTACTAACTTTGAGTTTAGACTTATAATTCTAATTTTTTTAGCATAATTTTCAATAATTTCACTTTGTAGTTATATACTTTCTGCTTTTTTCAGTGCTGCTATTATCTGACTATACAAGAGCAAATCATATATTATGATTTTATTTACATCTTCAACTACTAGGCTTTTTGCTATTAGCTTTATATCATCTGGGTTTGATGGCTTTGCCTTATCTAAAGCTTTAATTATTTCTTAATTATTTGTATATTTAACCACTTTTGTTTTGTAATTGCTAACATATTTAAGCAAACTTTGTATTTGTATACTTTTTATATATACCAAATTTTTTTTTAGATTTTTTGCATATGTTGTATTTGTTTGTTTACCTTTTGTTTGTTTGTTGTATACTTTATTTATTAGCAAATTTGTATATATAAATTTCTATCTGTTATTTTTAGAGTTAATAATAATTCTCAAAAATCCTAAAATTTTTAAAAATTTTCTTGTTTTTATAAAGTTTTTTTTGTTTTAATATTTTTTAATTCTTTTAACTACTGTTTTTCTATATTATTTCTATGTATTTTATCTTTTTGTTTCTTTTTTTTATAGCACTTTTGTATGTTTTCTATATTATTTCTTGAATTATTCTTGATTTTTTATTTTTTTCAAATTTGTAAAAAAAAGAATTAGCAGAAAAAGTTTGTTTTTTATTTGAAATTTATGTATTTTTTATATTTATATATTTTTATTTCTTAATTATACAATATATTATTATTTATTATTTTTTTTAAAGTTAATGCTAATTTCTAAAAACTTTAAAAATTTTAAAAAATTTTCTTGTTTTTATAAAATTTACTATTGCAGTGTTTTTTAATTTTTTTAACTATTATGTTTTTATTTTTTTTTAAATATTAATGATAAGGCCATGCTTTTAACTTTATTAAAATTTAATTAAAGTTTTTATAAAAAAAAACTTGCTTTTAAATTACATATAAAGAATAAAGACTCAAACATATAATCTGCAATCTAAATTTACAAAAGTGGCCAAAACTCATCTAGATTTGAATGTTAGTAATAATATAGAAGAGAGAAATATAGTATTTAATCTATTGAATAGTTCAAAATTTAATTTTAGTAATAATTTGCAATATTAAAATAGAGAATAAGAGTAGACTAGAAAAAGAACTATAAGTTAAATTTGTAGTAATTGTAGTTTGGGACTATGTAGAATATAAAATATAATATGATATCTATATTTGTTTATTTTTTAATTTTTTTTTATTTTTTATTTTTTATTTTTTGTTTTCACTAAGGTTGTAATTATCGATGACTACTGCCTTTATTGTATTTTTAATTATTATTATATAACTTGTACAAAATGAGTGTACAACTAGCTACTCATACAACTTTTGGTTGTCTAATTTAAGTAGTCCACTTATATAGCAGGTTCTATACTAGTTGCTATACCTGCAATCTACTAAAAGTTTACCTATTTTAAGCACTCTGATCTTTATATTACACTAACAAATAATATACAAGTTCTTATACACCTATATTAAATACTGTCTAGTCTAACCTTAATCTTTCTTTTTGTATGTCTGTTAAGCTGTTATATATTTCAGAGTATATCATCTGATTGTAAGACTAAAAGATGCCCCTTTGCTAACTAACTATCCATATTTAATCCTTATTAACAGGTCTTGACCTTACAGAATTCACTCAGACCCTAGCACTAACTTTATAGCATATCTTTAGTACTTATAATATATTTCTGTTTTTGTCTTCAAACTTTCAATCCAGATAGCTTAGAAGGTCATAACCTGTTTCTGGTATTTCAAAGTCTGTTTTCTATGATCTTTTTTTTTCAGTTTGAAACTTCCAGTGATCTAGTTAGTGATACCTCTTATCTAAGATTTTTGCCTATCTGATTTTTTTCATATTGATATCTATTTCTTAGATCTAGCCTTTATAGTAATACTGTAATAAAATTTACTAAAAACTAGCAAGCTGTAGTAATTTTAAATACATGAATGTCAAGTAGAAGATCTTTTATTTAAAGGAAAATAAAATAAATAAAAATAACTAAAAATAAGAAATAAATATTTAAAAATGAAATTTAAATTCAATAGCCTTCTAGATACTATAAAAACTTTATGATAGACTAGTTGTAAGCAATTTGACTTATTTCTATTAAAATCAGCATTATTAATTCTTTCAAATCAGAATTGTTTATTAATTCTATTTTGAAAAGATCAATATTATAAATAAAACATAAGTATATATATTTTAAAAAAATATAACAATAAGATAAGATTAGAGATTTTTAGTAAAAGTTAAGTTAATTAATTAAAAATATAACAGTATCAAAATGTAAGATCTAGTAAAAAGTATAATTAAATATAGAAAATTTACTGTTAGTTCATTTGATTGAATTGTTTTTCTTAAAATATAAGTTTTAGTATTAAATATATTAATTAGATAAAGTTAAAGTAGAGATTACTATATTTAGTAATATGTAATTTTTAGTAGGTCAATACAATCTTTATAATTAATAATCATTTGTCTAACCTTTATTAGCATTATTCTTTCTATTTAATTCTTGATATTTGGTTGTTTTTTTTTTTATATTTCTTTCTTATACACATTTTTTTTAGTATATTTTTTTTTCAACAAGAAGTTTTTTACTTCTTTACAAATAAATAACATCAGATTAGTAATGTTCAATTGTAGAATAACAGATAGATGAGCTTGATCCAAATTTTAACAGATCTGGTATAACAGGTTACTCATAGGTACCAATTGGGATAACTATATGATAATAGTATAAAGGGTTAGATATAATTATATTTGTATATTGTCTGTACTAAACATTTATAAATAAACTTCTAACTGGTTGACCAACATGTCTACTAAAAGTAAAAAAAAATTTTTATCATTTTTTATTTAAAGTCTTGTTATAAATATATATCTTATTTGTTTTATATTTAAATAGATTTTTAATTATTAAAAACTTAAAAAATTAACTATTGTAAACTTCAAGAATTGATTATTATAAACTTTGAGAATTGACTATTAAAAACTTTAAAAATTTATTGTTAAAAACACAGCATTAAACAAAATCTCATATTTATAACATATATATATCAAAAACTTAAAAGGGTTCTTTATCAAACAAATTGTTATATATTATATATTCTTTATATATAAGATTTCTCATATAGTATACCTTCCACTATACGGTATATCTGAAAGGTATAAATCAAGAAAAACTAATGTATATAGTAAGAGACCTTGGGTATTTTCCATGTAAAAGATGATAAGCAGTTTAATGGTTCAAAAATAAACTATATAAAATAAAATGACTGTCTAAAAATACAAGTAAACATTTAAAACTTCTTAACTAACTTATATATTAAAAATGTTCTAATAATACAGAAAAAAATATAACTAGCTGTACTCTTTAAATGTAGAAACCTCTGTGTCCAAATTACTGAATAAAAACCTTAACCCAATGAGGCTAGTTAAAAAAAAAATAATAATAATAATTGCTAATATACAGTATATATTAATCATGCATATACGTATTATTTATTCTTTTTGAGCTAAAGTAGCATTTAAGGAAGGTCCGAGTTGGAATATAGTTAGAATACAGGAATACCTTGGAATCATGATCGGCAGGGTTGGACTTGTCAAGATTACTAAAAGTTTTACTAATGAAGTCACGGCCACTCATTAAATAAAGCTGCCCAGCTGATAATTTTGCCCCCAAATGGTTGCTAAATGCCGGCCTAAAACCGATGGGAAATTTGGTGATCTCCCTGTAACAAATTTATATTAAAATGGAAGTTACACCTATAAATTCATTGGCTAGGTAATTTGATGTTACACGTAGAAAATCATTAAACCGAGTAAACTTAAACTCGAGTTTTTTGTATTGCTATTGGGTCTTTTTAAACAATTTTGAATAGCTACACGCGTTTGCCTTAAAAAAAAAAAACCCTTTAAGTACACGATCTATACTGATCGCGTTCCTCCTGCTATAGCAGATCATAATGTTTGACAAGAGTGGTAGATGCGAAGTGGTCGATCCTCCGGGGTTCGCAAAGGTATAGTAAATTTCTACCACCAGCCACTTTAAAATCCAACTATGAAACAAAATTCTCTATCCAAAAATTTAATTTTAAAAGGATTTGATGGACAGCTTTCGATGGATGATGGATGCTTTCTCTGGAAAAATAAATTATGAAGATCGACAAAGAGTTATCTATACAATGGTAAAATGGCCGTTTCTATTACGATTTTCAGCATTGTTCCTTATTAAAGTCCTTTTACAACCCACATTCATTAATAATTTTTACCAGATAGAAACGGCGCAGTATGGGTATAGAAAAATTGTGTCAGCGCTACTGTACGGAATTCTGACCGAAGATGAACATACAAGGGTGATTAGTTGTTAAGGGATAACAAAATATTGTTATAGATATTAATTGACTTGACTATTCTTTAGTATTATGACCACATTTGCGATCATGACAGAGATAATTACGGTTATCTTATATCTGTGATGAATCAGATAGTTAAATACAGAGGCTTTGCGTTATATTCAAGAAAAACAATTGATCGGGTATGTTGAAAAAATTTTCATTATGTAAATACGATTACAAACCAGAATATTTATTTATTCATACATATATATTTTTTTTAATAGATTTTGTGGCTTATTACCATCATAATAGATGATAATAGGGAAAGTACGGTGAACGCTCAGCCTGGATTGTATGAAGTTTGTGAAAACCTCCTTCGTCAAATTCGTGGTAAAAATGAATCCAGCTAAATATATTCTCATGAATCAATTATATGCACATATTGAATTATTTTAATTGTTTACCTATTTTGTAATAATTAGGAGGTGACAATTCTGAGCCAAACATTTGGCTATGCGAAAAGATGCTTGAATTGCTAAAAAGAGAATCGTATATACATATTTTCTATATTGATAATTGCAGTTATATGATCGCATGACATTAATTTGTTTATAAATAATAAAATTTTTTTTGTTACTATAGAGTGTGGCTTTTTCAAAATGAGCGATTGATACATGTGACCTTTTATACATTCGCGAGCTTGGCAAGAGAACATGACAGATTTGATCAGCTACGAACTCGGGAAGCACAATTTTGCAAAATTATTTTTGATAACCACGTATGTAAAGAAATTGTCACGTTTCAATCGACGTTGTTAATTTATTAACTCAGTGGTTTTAATCAGTATAACGTATGTTTTAAAATCGGCCGTGATCTGTATCGATTGTTATTAGAAGTTTCAAATATCCCCGACTTTGCGGCCATTTATAGTAATTTAGATCCTAATGGTATGATTTCATTTTTTATGTTATGCTGAAATAAAATATACGATCCTAAATTATGGTTATATTATTAATAGCCAAATTGCTTATGATACGTAAACCGACGGTGGACTATTGTTTGAGTAGTCGCCTTACAAACGATGAGAAGGCGAGAATAATCGCATACTTGGAAAATGTAAGAATCAATCCATATTATTTAGCATTGTTTCTATATGCTTAATTAAATATTTCACTTATTTACGAACCTTTCAACATAGCATACACCAAAGGCTTTTCCGAGAAAATTCGAGACATTTTTCAGAGATTTTTCAGTTTCTGGATATACGCTTTCAGACATAATAAGATGGATATGTGGTGCATTTCGCCTAACAAAGCCAAATTCGGAATGCCAAAGACACCAATTGATCAGCGCAATGATTACCCATGCAGTACGTAAATCATTTGGTATTTTAATTTATCCAAAAGATGTCGATTAATTATTTTATGTGCAGCTTGAAAAAGAACCCTCAAGCGAAATGAAACAGACGATTGTAGGGTTGTCAAAAATGGCACTTATATTAGATTGGTTATCTTTTGACAGGAACAGTATAAATCAAAGTGTAAACGATAATATAAATAATATTGGTAAATATTACGTTTATTTGTTAAATCTGGTTCGTAATTTTATTTTATTAATTGTTTTTACATTTTAGAGCCAACAATCCGCTTGATATTAGAATTGTATCGTACTGACTCTCAATTTGGACCAGAATTGATTGAGTGTTTAGGATCTTCAATTAACAATTTCCTTCCGGGCTTTGAGCTTGAAATTCGTGAAAACGTTAGAGTTGCTGCTCAAACCGTTTTACGAAGGAATATCATGACGTAAGAAAGCTTGCTTAGTTGTTAATAGCTGTTTAAAAGCTTACATGTGATCCAATTTACAGGATAGATGACCTTAACATGATTCGGAGTAAAGCCAATGATGGCCGTGCCGCTAATAGGATAATATTGGAAATATGGGGCAACAATAAGCAGGCTGATCTTGAACCAATAAACATTCAACCAACGATTACGCGTCCGAATATTCTAAATAATTCACAGTTCGGAATACATCAATTACACAATCAAGCAAGTTCTTCACCTTCAACTTCTTATTCTTCGAAAATTCAAACTGATTCTCTCCAATCTCATGCATCAGCTGCACAAATTCAGCCGTTGACCACTCGAGTTCAACTTACTCCTTCATCTTCAAATTCTCCTCAAAAGCTAAGTTCTAGACGTACATCTGTAAAATACGATTCCATACCAATGCAAAGTAATCTATCAGTTCAGCCAATACAACAAGACTTGCCTGTTACGGTACCGAGACAACAACAAATATCTCTGACGTCGGCATTAAAACCATCCGATCAGAGAAATATTCTAGATAATTCTAAAAAGTTACGAATGTGGTTATATTTAACTCCGTTGCAAAGCTTTGAGAAAGCCATTCAAAATAATAACATTGATGAAGCTCTTGAAAATTTAAAAAATATTTTCGAGACATTTTTGAAGGTAATACTAGTAATGCTATTACGGTAGTGCACTGACCAAAAATAAAAAGTTATGTATATTACAAAATTATTTACATCACATGTCACATATAAATAATATTTTAAAAAATTGATCTACATTATTTGTCACAACGGGTACTTTAGTCAGTGCACTACGGTAAACCATTCCAATGATCAACGTCGATTACTTATATTACCAATATTTTACACAGAATGTAGACCTTGGATTTCCTAATTCGCCTCATTTTAAGGAATTGCCTGAAAAATTAGCAAAACCTTTGTGCAATTCAATTAACTTTGACGAATTAAAGGACTGTTATGATCTGACTAGTCGATTACTTAAAATCGAACCCTCTGGAAGAAATCTTTTCAATCTATTGCTTTCATGGATATTTCAGTGGAGAACTGAATCAAACGATAACAATTCAAATAAATATAAGGCATTTGAATTGCTAAGGCTGATCATTAATTGCGTTGAGCAGACAGATGGAAGCAAAGAAATTCATGTCAAAGCACGATCTAAATTAATGGTGTATTGTCTAGGGTAACTATTTTTATTTATATAGTTTAGGAGTTATTCTTTTTAAATTTAATTATTGGTTTTTTATAGGAGATCACAATCAAGCGTATTACATGATACAGTGGGTGTGTTTCTCGATACAATGGGTAGCATCAACACAAATTTGCCAGAAGTTATCGAGTTATATACCACTTACCTAAAATTTGAAATAATACGTGAAAAGTCATCATCTGAGATTGAAGAAGAATTTAAACAAGAATTTAAACTTAGATGGTTGGAAGATCTGACTGTATGCTTTTTTACACATAATCTTACATTTACATATCTTATAATACAACTTAGATTATTATTATTATTATTATTATTATTGTTTAGCTTATTCAGGAAAACGAAAATAATGTATTTTTATCCATGGTTCCACAATTGCTTAAGTGCTGGCCAGATATTTTTGTTGGAGTTCCGCGGTTCATTTACATGATTGTGAGTGGAGTAAACCCTGCAATAGTATGTAAAAATATTTATATTAGAGTATGGAACCGGTTTTAATAATTCGGGTTTATCACGTGAATTTTATGATATTTTAATAAATTCTAAAATATCACAAAATTCATGTGATAAACCCGAATTATTAAAACCGGTTCCAACCTCTAATTTATATCTAGGACTTATAAAAAATTAAGCACCAAATTAACTTTAATTTACATACGTATTAGATTTATAAATTTGAAACTGATTTGAGACAACAAAAATACAGAGTTGTCGGCGATATCGAAGGCGTAGATTCTATCCTTGGTATACACGTTATATAACGAAATCGTCTTGTATTATGATCAAATAGTAATTTTGTTTTAATGTTTAATTTAGCATGCGCTTTGGAATGGGACTCATTTGAGCAGATATATCTGTTTAATTTGATAAGATCAGAATACGGCAATGATGTCAATCAGACTGAAAAATTCATGGATACTTCGGTTTATTTAAAAAGCTTGGACCCTTTAAGTAAGTTTTTAGCATGTCATTTTTCACAATTATATTTTTTCTTATGTGCGTTTTTATACGCAGCACATCCTGAAGCATTAACTGGCTTAATTTGGCTTCTTGAAACTGTCTCCCCTACCGTAAAAATTATTGAGGCTCTATTTGAAATTATGATTTCTACAACAACCGATGAAGCACGTTTTGAAATAATAAATTATATAAATTCGATATTTCATTCATGGCAAAAAAATACGCAACATGTATCAGAGTTAAAATCTAGTTTAGGACAATATTTTGACAATCTCAGCATTGAGGAAAATAAAGACAAAGCCGTTGATTTAATTAAAGCCGTAGTGGAATTAATGGATGATCTATGGAAAAAAGCACATCCTACGTTAAAACGTGGTTGGTACAAATTAATATAAAAAGAAATTATACTTATAACATTGGTTTAAAGTAATTCGAAACTTTTAGGATTATTGTCGTTGCAGCCTAAAGTTGAAAGTATAGCAGCCTCAATCGGTATACAAATAAAATTTTCTAACTTGGTTGAAATGCTTTCGGATGAAAAGCACATGGTGCTTGAAGAAAATGATGGTATCCTTATTTATATGAATCTAATACGTTTATTTCAATAGTCATTAAATCTTTAGACATAAATATCTTAATTTAGATGAGAATAATAGCAATTCCAAGCTTGGTGCATTACCAATATCAAAACAAATGAAGCATCAGGATCGCCAGTTGCGTTCTACGACTGTGCATTCTCGTAGCACCGCGAATGAGCCAACAACAACTTCTACATCTGACGGAGAAGAAAATGAGGAAGAGACATTATGCAGAACACCCCCACCTGTTTTACCAAAACGCGTTAAAAGAAAAATTATTGTTAGTTCATCGGAAGAGGAACAGGAAGTTGAGCAACCAAGTAATCGCAAAAATCGGTCATCACGTGCACGTTCTTCCCAGACGTCATCCTCAAGGTCTACTATGAATACTCCCCAACTTTCAGGTGGTAAACGTAAGAGTACTATTCCAACTGCTTCACGGAAGAAGCAGCCAAAAGTTTCTGAAAAGTCATAAACTTCATTCTTGATAATGATTGAATTTATAACTAGAGTTAGCATAGAGACAATTTGAGCAGTATTTATGTTTTTTTAAACCAAAAAAAACTTTTTGTGTTACAAACTAATGTGTATTTTGAATAAATATTCATCCATGATATTTAGTATATTATAAATCTATAAATATTTAATTTCTCAGATTTTATAATTTATAATTAATTTCAAATCTCTACATACATATTTTCTGCCGTAGCCGTACAAATTGCATCTTTAAAAAACTTATTTGAACTACCCGTTAGCCAAACCATCCATTAAATCAACAGAAGTCATTAAATATATAAAAAAGGTTGCCAATTAAGCTTTATATAGTGCCATGGATATGTTATTAAGGCACAATTTATATTTGAAATTCGTAAAAATTCGGTAGAATTAGATTGGGGTATGGAAAATTTTTAGAGCATGTTCCCTGTAGATAATGTAATTGTTAATCTTTTGCTAGTTTGCCTTGGTTTATTTGTTACTTAATTTCAAATTGTTATAGAGTACATATGTTTAAGTTTATTTTTTTTTTGACTTAGGCAGTTTTGCCGATCACCTTTATTAAGATTCTTGTATACATATTTGTACAAAGTTGGTTTAAATTTTGACTCAACATCTTTTGACTACTTTTGTGAGTGTTTAGGAATGGTCTGTTGCACTGGTCAGGAACTTATCTGGTCAGAGGGTTATACTAAGTTAATCAATAGAATTCTAAAAAATCAGCCTTATTTTCATCTTATAAAATCAACAACTGAATGCAATCATGATTCTTGAATTCTTTTTTCATTATTTTTTTTTCTAGTTCAGTTTGTTTATCTATAATAACTTGTTCCTCTTCATATATCAGTTTTCTAATGGTTTTATTTCTTGATATATATGTTTTTATTCTTTTTCTTATTTGTAAGCTTAATTCTGTCTTTTTCTAATTGGTTATTATTTTATAATATTTTTTTATATATTTTCAAAGAAGCTATTTTATATTGCATTAATCTAAATAGTTATAAATTCTTTAGTTTCTTTGAGAATTTGGATAAGATTTTGTAATATTGATTTAACTTTTTCTTATATTAATTTTTTAATACTTTTGAATTTGTATTTAACTTTTTTTTTTATCAAAAATTTTTATAAGATCTTTGTTAACTTTTCTTTGCTTGTCTTTTTACAGATTTCTTTTGAAACCATTGTTCAAACAAAGTTAATTATTATATTTCCTATATTAACATATTTTTTTTATAAATTTTACATGTTATTAGATATTTTTAGTTTTATTTTTTTGTTTTTATACAAAATATAATATAAGTTTTTGTATATATTTAGATATTTTTTGTTAAAATATTGAATACAAATAGTTTTTTATTAATATATTTAATTAGTATTGTGATTTTTTATTTTTCTTTATATTTATATATTTGATTTTATTTTGGTTTTTGATTTTCTTTACAGTATTAATTAATTATGTTTTTTTTTATTTAGTTCTATCTTTTAAAGTAATAATATTAAAGATTATACTTTGCAATAGTACTTTATTAATAATTTGAAGTTAGTCATTACAATTGTTTTTTATAAGCATATAAATACAACTAGTCATATATACAACTTATAGTTACCTATTTAAGTAATCTATTCTAAAATTCTATATTGAATATAGTATTTATAATCTACTAAAAGATTATCTATTTAAACTTTTTAATTATCTGCTTTTACTAATCTTTAACTTGTCATTAATCTTTTGTATATATTTATATATACTATTTAGATAACATATACTTTTTTTTTAAAGTTGTATTTAAGTTATTATTTATTTCAGAGCATATGATTTAATAATAAGCTCAAGAAAAACTTTTTATTAATTAACTTATTTACTTTTATAATCAAATTAACAAAATTATACTTTTGCAAAGTTTATTTAAATTCTAGTACTAACTTTATAATATATTTCTAATACTTTAGTATATTACTATTTTGTTTTCAAACTTCTAATTTAAATAGTTTAAAAAGAATCATAACTTGTTTTTGATTTATCAAGTTTGTTTTTTTTCTTTAGTTTGAATCTAATAGCTTAATTAGTAATATTTCTTACTTAAAGATTCATATTTATTTAATTTTTTTATATTGATATTTCTTTTCTAGATTTAATATTTGTAATTATATTATCAAAAGTTTATATTACTTTTCTGTTTAAATCTTTTCAAATAGGTTTATGTTTTTTAGTTTTACAGATTTATATAGTATAAATACAAAAACTTATTTTAAGTTTATACATATTACTAATATTAGTTTGCATTCTTTTATATATCTAAAATTATACAAATACTCTATAATTTACTAATTATACTATTGTAACTATAGTTATAAATAACTTATTCTAACTGATTAATAGAAAATAGTTGCTATAATATAAATAATTATTTAAATTTTCTATTATTTGTAGATTTGAACTTCTAATCTGTTACTTAAAGAAGTAATTTTGCTAAATTAATATACTTATTAATTACTAACTTAACACTTTTATTTGAATGTTTTATTTTAAATTTTTTAATCTTGCATTTTTGTATTAACTTCACTGAGTTATGTTCAGATTTTTATCTTAATTTTAATACTAAATTATTTTTAAAATAATCTTTTAAAGTTTTCTATATTTTTATTTATAGTAAATATAGTATTGCTATAGTTAGAATTAATACTTATCCCTTAGATTGTAGGCTTTTGCAAGCAAATTTGTCTGCATAATTATATTTTTTTGACTCTGATCTACTTTTTTAAATGTTAAAATATCTAACTAAAATTTGGTATAATAATATTTGAAAATAAGGATTATTTTTTTGTAATATTTATTTTTAAATTATAAGAAAAAAATAGGTTACTTATAGACCAAAAACATGTAATTTTTAAAAAAAATTTTAATAAAATATTTTTTTAGTTTATCTATGATAAACTTTTTAAATATTAATTTTAAATCTATAGTTTTTAATACAACTTTTTAGTTTATATTAAAGATTATATTTTTAATTATTATAAGTTTAATAATTTATATATAAAAATTAATACTGTTTTAAGAACAAAATTTTTTTTTAACTTTAGAAATATATAAAATTTTAGAAAACCTAAAAAATATTTTAATAATAAACTTTTATGTTACACTATCTTTAAACTTTAATTAATTAAAAGTTTTTTTAATAAAGTTAAAAAAATTTCTTAACTAAGTTTATAAAATAGAATTTTAAAAATATTTTTTACTTAGAAAGTATATTGTTAAAATTTTATTATAAAAATTAATTTTTAAAAAAAAGATGCAGTCAAATTTGCATGCAATACAATTTAAGGAATAGTTAGAACTAATTATTAAACTGCTATACTATTGTAAAATTGATATAACTTTAGTATTCTTTTTTACAACTTTATTGGTGACTTGTTTATTCTTACAAATCTTTTTAATATTTTAACAATAATAATATATATTTAGTATGCTAATATTTGTGATTATTAGTTTATTAATCAAAAAATAAATAGTATTATATTAGACTTTGAAAGACATATGACATGTAAATAATTTTAGAATATTATTAAATATTTGATCATAACCAATATATTAAAAAATAATAATCCTTTTTATTTTGTTCAAGAATTTCATAATGAATTTAATAAAAATCTTTTTAAATCTATTCATCTAAAAATTATCTTTGTATTAATAAGTCAATATGTCAGTAAATAATTAAAGTTGATAAAGATCTATTTTAATAAAAAATATCAAGAAAACCTTATACAATTGGTTGTAAATTTAAGACTGTCACAAATGCTTACATAAATTTGTTATCATAAATAAATTCTGTAAAGTCTTTAGAATTTGTTAAAAAAATTTTTTTAATAATTATATGCCTACAATAGCAACTATATTATAATTAATTAGTCTTAGTTTTATAGTAATAGAACAATTAGATGCAAGTTAAAATCTTGACAAACAGAATTTTAACAGGTTATAATCCTAACAAAAAAATTCTGATAGTCAAAAATTCTAACAATTAAAAATTTTGACAATCAGAATTTTTAGATAGAAAATCCTAAGTATAAGATATATTTAAAATGCAATAGCTTTTATAATTTAATTAATTTTAGAGTTAGATTATTTTAGATAATACTTGAAATAGAATTTGCTATGGTCTATTATATTTTATCAGAGATTTAATTGTCAGAATTTTAACTATTAAAATTTTTGACTGTTGAAATTTTTAGCTATTAGGATTTTTTTGTTATAATTATAACCTGTTAAGATTCTGTTTGTTAGGATTTTGATTCAAATCTGAATAATCATTGCAGATTTATAGTTTGATGGTATAGATTTATATATAACTTTATACAAACATGACTTATATTCAATTTTATAATTAAAAAAATATTAATATTGGTCAAAAAATATTTCATCAGATATTATTAATACATTTAAAAATAAATATAAGTCTTTTGTTAATTGGACAAAAAAGTATAATAATATTGTTTTTAATTTGTGTTTTATTCAAAATTGTAAAAATATTGTACTTTTAGCTAGTTGTTTAATAAGTCTTAAAACTAAAATAAAAAGATTTATTTTTTTTTTTAACTGTCCCAGATGATATCATCATGGGGCGCGTGTGGCGCTCTTTTTATTAAGTATAGCTGCTAGATTATTATTTACACATTAAAGGATTTACTAGACTAAATATTTGTATATTT